TCAGATCTCCTCCCACGTCCATGAGGGCTCTTCGACCATACCATATCTCCCACATCATGATGCCAAAACTGTACAAGTCCGCCTTGTTGTCGTACACACTGGATTTAATCACTTCCGGTGCGACGAAGCCAGGTGTTCCTGCCATGGTGCCTGTGATCATCTTTCCTTCTTTGGATACACCAACATCGGCGATCTTGACAACATCTTGGAGTGACATCTGTACAAGAGTACAAATAATTAAAAACCATACTGTCACTTTTGTGTAGTTGAATAACACAGGTCAAACACTAACTCCACATCTTTTAAATGCATGATTGCGTTAAAATACAAAATTATATTTCAACCGCGATACTTTAGCCTAACATGAGGGAAGGGGATCGGAGGATTTCTATTCCTCCATGAATGGGAAGCTGGTCCGATCGCAGGGTTACCCCGAGCATTAAATTCGCTGGTACCCATTTATACATCAGGGTATGTGGAGAGAGACACTTTGAGAGTAAAGTATCTTGCCCAAGAACACGGCACATTGTCCCCGGCCAGTGCTACAGCCCGGACCACTCGATCCGGAGTCGAGCGCACTAACCTTGTCTGAGATAAACCCATCTAAAATTGACACCCCAGTAAAACTGATACATCTTGTTTTCTTACCAATATGTTTTCCAACTTGAGGTTCCCGTGGACGTACCCTTGTTTGTGTATGTGTTCCAGTCCATTGACGATGTCTTTCGCCCATCGGATTGTAGTTCTCTCGGTGGGATGTGCTAAGGACGGCAACCTGGCTGGTATGTTCTTAGGATTCAGGAAAATATGTCTCATCAAGTTTTCCTTGCACAGCTCCATCACTATTATCGCCCTCTCCTGGTCTCCTTCCTTCAGCAGTGATGAACCATAGAACTTCACAATGAATGGATGATTCAATTTCCTGCGAAAGGTGGCGGAAAGTAATGGGAGACTTAAGTCAAACTCACAGTGAATTTACGAGTACGACCAATTTTGTTTTTTGTTGCGAGAAATAGATAAGTGATGTTAGACTAATAAGTGGGTTATATAATGAAGTTCTCTACCATTGTATAACGGTTTCATAGAAGAGAAACGAGTTAGTAAAACAGATTACTTTCAGCGCAACCTGGTCAAAATTGTATGCTAAGGGAAGTGGTCAAAACTGTTATACATATAAGGGACCCACTAGAATAACTTGAGACTACTGTCTCTTTCTATAGCCCCCTACCCTTATCCAGATACCAACGGTTTCTTTTATAGCCTCCCCTCATCCCTTGGCAAGTGACCCTTGGTCTCTACTACAGCCCGCCTCCGTCCCTTGACAAGTGACCCATGGTATCTTTTATGGGCCCTCCTCCCGTCACAACCTACCCATGGTATCTTTCATGACCCCCCATCCTCCCTCAAAAAAAAAAAGTGAGTCACGAGAACCTCTATTTGCTGCTAACCTATGGCNCTTGCTTAACCCCCCCACTACACACACAAAAACAAACACACACAGAAACAGTATGCCGGGTTGCGTACGCTATGGTCACATTATTGTTCCTTTAACCCGGATCTTAGAATATACGATCATCTCTGGTTTGCATACCTATAAAAATTAGAAATAAACCATTTGGATGTTTGAAAACAAGTTCGACAATCATGTTAGAGATTTTTTAACGAAGAAACACAAAAAATCACCACATTGTTTTGCGCTCAAGTACATGGTGTCCCTTAGCCCCTCACCCCCTCACGAGACCCATGGCCTCTTAACTAGCCCCCCACCTCCCTAAGGAGACCCATGGCCACTTATATAGCCCTCCCTCCAAAAAGTGGGTCCCTAGCATGTAACATAATCTGTTATTTCGTTAGTTATTATAGTACGCTGGACAAAACTGCTCTGGATCTACGTTTTAAGACAACAAATCAAAACAAGCAGAGCGATGCAAATAATTTTGTGATTGTCTTAAACCTTCTTAAATTCCACACCTGGAAATTTGTTTTCATATAGATCACGCTAGGAAGACTTCCGTTACAGTGTATCTAAATTTGCGGAGTGAATCACAAATGTACGGAGAAATGCGCGATTTCTGCGAAAAAAATAGTTATGGTTTACATCCTCATCGTAGTGTTAGACCAGTGTTGTTGTGAGAAGAAAATCATTGCGTGTTCGTGGAATTTTTCCTCGTGAATTCGACGAAATGTCATGAGGAAGGAGGAATAATCCATCTAAACAGCACTATAAACCTGTGATACATCAGCGGTTTAGAGAATCAAAGATTCAAGTTGTGATGCTACCACAGAAGGGTCACAAGGTAAACCAAACAAAGTTATTTCAAGCTGTTGAACAAGAAAATGCGAGAAAATGGCAAGCTCCTCATAGATAAGCCCAGAAACAGGTCCGAAACTTTCTTAAAAGCACAAATAGCATTGTCTGAAGTTCTTGGACGAGAACGCTTTAAGAGAGCAGTATCTTGTGTAATTGTGGCTTGTACGAGGCACGCGAGCTAAATTAAAGCAGCCATCTACAAAACAGGCGGTAACCGATCTAGTGACAACAACACTTTAAAGACTTCAAAGAAGATTAGTTTCTGAACACAGTATCGTATTTTAGCGACCAAATAACTTGTAAGTCTTTCTCGTGCTTTCTTGGCAAAATCTTGACAAAAAAATCCTCCAGCAGGTTAAGTGCTTCTTAGCAAAACAACACTCCAAAGAAGAATTTTCTTTCCCAGAAATCGCCCGATTTTGAATACTTTTGTGATCAAATTTGGACAAGGCATAACGCAAGCTTTTCTTGAGTGATTCAAATAAAAATAAGTTTTCATCTGTGGAATTTAGTAAAGTTTAAGGCAATCAAAAAATTATTTGTGTCTCTTTGTTCGTTTTAATTTTTTGTTGTGGAAACGTCGATCCAGAACAGTCTTGTCCAGCGTACTATATATATAACGATGAAACCTTTGTATCGTGAAATGCAGTGACACAAAAACTTTACCTCAATACGCCCGTTTCAGCAAGGAAAGCACTTGCGTTGGAGTAGTTTAGTGGCTCTTTAGACTAATAAGTGGGTTTTTAAAGCCACGGGTTGCTCTTCCTCGCGTAGCTTTAACTTCCCTCGATAGACAGAAGCAAAGACACCTGTTCCAAGCAGTGAACTTCCGTCGTCCTTCCATTCCAAATCGTTGCAACTGATGTCCATGGTTCGTACCTCCTTGATGAAGAACATGGCCATGTAATCCTTCAGCTGCAAACTCCTCTGGTAAAAGGGTCTATAGAAGTCTTCTTTTTCTTTCTGTGAACGGATCATATTTCTTAGATGTGAACAGAGCATTTTGGCAGCCTCAATGAGCTCAGGGATACGAGCTACAACTTGCGTGAGCCACGCTTGACACTCTTTCAGCTGCTCCACCACGAACGACCGCAGATTCTGTTCCTCGGCAGCTTCAGTTAAGTACTCTTTTGAAGCTTTTGCCATGAACGACTCGAGACTTGTGACGTCACTGAGAACTCTTTCAGCCACGCTAAAGTTGTCTGGAACAAAGGGATCACTGCTAGGACTAGCGGCATCCTTAGCTACAACGGAGCTCTCCAGATTTGGAAGTTCTCCCTCGAGGATGTTAAATCTTTCCTGGAAGTACTGGATTAGGAATGTGCGAGCATCTGAAAAGACATGGTTCTCTTCTTCCCAGGTTGCGATTACGTCCTGAAGCCGCTTCATAATAGCTTTTTGGATGAAATTTCTGGCGACCTCCAAACTTTCTTCTGTGTTTAGAACGTCGTCCAACGTCCATGAGGTGAATTTTTCCACAACATCTGAAGTCTTCAGATATTTGGAGAGCGCTCTAACAGCGTGGTCTGTCTTGTTCTCCAAATAATCCTGCAGCTCCTTGTTAACGGACCTCAGCTGTTTTTCAATCGTTAATAGGCGTTCCATGCGCCTCATTCTCTCAATAACTTTTTGGCGATCTTTGAGAGAATTGTCAAGAATAGCCTTAGTGGCGTAAGCCATGCGAGAAAGGAGGTAATCAAGCCACCTGAAATAAAAACGTAAACGTGTGAGTTATTCCTTATGGTTTGCAAAACGCACTCGTTTTAACTCACTTCGACTCATTTCGCGCTAGTGCAAACTACCCCGGTTCACAGGTTTTACACAGTTTTTACACAGTATTTATACAATTTTTATGGCGGAGCTCCGGTGGCCCAGAGCCCATACTTATAGAGGAAAGAGAAGAAAACCCATGAATGGATTTTCTCGTGGTTATCATGGCTACCGGTACTGCTCGTGGGCGCGTACGCGCGACGGCGGCGGCGAAGGAGTCGCGGAAGATGGCGGTCATACTCCAGTTAATAGGTTGACAGAGACATACAGCCTTGGTTTGTAGCGTCCCTCTTTGATATTGGACATCCATGTTATGGTCAATTGACACCTGTCAAAACAAGGTATCCGCTGACCAGTATCACATGACCATATTGCGGGCTCAAATTTAGAGCTCATCGAGGTCATGTGTTTTTTTAACTTGACCGCAGACCAACTGCTGGTTTTTAATTGGATCGCAAGCGCATGTTAGGTTAACTTGCTGTAATCAGGGCCGGGTTGTTCGGAAGCCGGTTAATGCTAACCCAGTATAAATTTTTCTTGTATACAAATGTTTTTCACTACTCATGGTTTGTGCATTTTGAGATTGTTCAAACTCAGAACAGAAAGCCAAACAATATAAACAGAAAATATCACCGCAAAGTTACAAAACAAATCAAACTTCTCGCTTATCGTGGGTTAGCTTAATCGGGCTTTGAACAACCCAGCCCAGGTGCTTCGCCGTAAGCCTTAGCTAAATATATATATTATATTTACCGTTCCTTAATTTTCAAGTGATTTTAATGCGTCGGATGTTGATAGAAGACATGATGTCTTCTTCTTGTTCTTCTTCCCGGCCGAAAAAGGTCTTGGATTCCATATTGACATGATTTCAATGACTGGGATTCCGAACTCAGAACTTAGTCAAGATCCCAAAACTGTGGTTTCCATGGAAGACGACTGAAATTATATTTACGATTGGTTTGATAACTGAATTACGCAATCTGGATTCTGAATTCAACCTTTATACATCTCCCGGATTCCGGATTTCAATCCAAAGAAAATAGCTGCTGTAATCCAGCTACAGGCTGTTTCCGGATTACATCATATTAGAAAACTCCCAAAGACCACACAAGATGGGGGTTAAAATTAATCGTAGCCTAATCTGAAGGTGCATTTTAAGTTGATGAGCCCATACTGTTTTGAGCAAGTGAGCACCTTTTGGATTTGATGAGAGTGTGGAAAAAGCGCTCTAGATATCATGCACGTTTTGTGACATCAATGTGGCAGCCACATGTGCACACAAACTATCCAGCGCTCACCTAACAAAGCTTCTGCACTGAGTTTGTAGTGTTCCTTTTCGTTTATTCCAAAATTAACAAGTGATTTATGCTTTGGCTTGTATTAGGAATTGAGTTATGATGCACACAGGACGTAGATGAAAAGCGTAAGCGCTGCTCGAGGCGCAGCCGAGAGCAACCCTGACTTCTTCACATTGGTTTCCAAACTTCCCAAAGCAGGAAACAATTACGTTATACCAATATCAAATGGAAATGATTTCTCTCGCGAAGCGGCGAAGTTAACTTTGCTCAAGGCATAGGCTAGCATCATTAGATGATGACGCATGTTTAGGTCTACTAATGTTACATAATGGCGATATTATATATTAGTATAAATCTACTAGCGTTATATCACGAATACTGTTCTCTGATTGGCTACGCTACTCACTATCTATTCTGTGATAGATAGTAAGTAGCGTAGCAGTGTGCCCTCGCTAACAAAA